CGAGGTAATGTTAGGATAGTCAACGCAGATTAAGAATTTAATCATTTTTTTTTATGTTCCAAACATGTATTAGACCAGGATTAGGTTGCCCTAATTCATCTCGTCAATTTAATTTAAGTTAATTAGAGGAAATTAGATTTTAAATATAAGTAATAATTGGATGTGATTTGAAGCTACAGTTAGAAAGCCACTATCAACTACAATGTGCTTCTACATGCTTCAAGAACATATACTAATATATATCTGCAAAATGATGCTAATTTTATTTTTGTTTTATATGCATTTGTGACATCAAGAAAGATGCTTAATTGAGAAAATTATTTGTAATCTCTTTGACTAATCTTGGCTTTGAACTTTTTTGTGAAATATTTGGCTATGCATGCAGATGTTTTAATCCTTAGGTTGTCTCTTGTTTATCTATGAATTCCACAGAAATTCAAAAGGTTGACCTATTTAGGAATCTCTGGTTCTATGCTTATTTTCGACTCCCCGAAGCATTTTGTCAATTAATGTGTCTTCCTCATCCTTAGCTACATGTCTCGGTATCCACTGTAACCCTTTACTAATTCCTTATTCAAACCTTGCCCTTAATTTTAAGGTTCTGCCACCTTAAGGTGTTGCTAAATATGAGAAATCTAAGTTCACGAGTTAAAGATAAGTAGACTTGAACCACTAGACCTACCACAAGCCTTAAACCTTGGTTTGAATACCGTATGCAACATCAAGTTTTGTGACTCTGTAAATAATTTTAAAAATAAGACAGAAAAGTTAATTTCTACATTTTAGAGATGGTTTTTTATTTTTTTTATTTTTTTATTTTTTATATTGCAATAGCCAAAGTAGCGTGGCAAAGTGTTACAAAGTATACCAACTTCATGTAGGTGTCGTAACAACTCAGCAGCAACAGGAATCATCATTAAAGATAGCAACGACACACGCACTTCTCAAGGCTTTTACTTTCAACCTCGAGAGCACCAAGGCTTTTCTAGCAGAAGCTGCAGCTCTTCATAAAGGAGTTTAACTAGCTCTTCAATATGGCATCCAGAATATTCAAATTGAAGTTGATAATCTTCTACTTTCTCCGTATTCTATTACTTGCTCCATTTCTCCATGCGTGGAGTAATAAAATATGATGGAAGTGAGGTTGGTTGAAGAATTAAAAAGAATCTAAAAAAACAAAAGTGAATATAAGTGGGAAATAGACCTGGTTCGGGTCGAGTACGAGTCGGGTCAGTTCGGGTCTGGTCAATCAATATTCGGATCGGGTTTAGATCAATTCAGGTTCCGGGTCAAGTTTGGGTCCATGGTAATTCGGGTCGGGTGGGGTATCAGGTCAACTCTTCGGGTCAAGTTCGGGTCGGGTCATTTCGGATCGGATCAGTCTTCGGGTTCATTTGTCGAGTCAAGTTCGGGTCGGGTCAAATTTAGGTCGGGTCAAATTCGAGTCGAGAAAATCTTCAGCTAAGTTGATGTAGAAATTTGACCAATAATATATTATCATTATCATTATCAATTAAGTATAAAGTATAACAATTGAACATTAATAAAATATTCATTAGACAATTCCAACAGTACTATACACACAAGACTTCATTGTTCATATGTAAAATCACTATCATTAATTAATTGGTCAAAAATTCAAATTAGATAAAGTGAATAGTGGAAAAAAAAAATTCAATGTACTCCCTCCTTCCCAAAATACTTGGGACGTTGGGGTGGACACGTAGTTTAAGAAAACTATAAGTGGATTCATTTAAAACATTTGTTAATTATATAAAAGATTCTCTTTTGTATTTTTATATTGTAAGAAAACAAAAAGTGGAGGTAGTGAGGAGAGAGAAAATATAGGATTTAATTGGGTTTTGGGGTTTGTGATCCCAAGGAGAGTATAGGAAAATAATTTTTATTAGTGGTCCCATTCCAATTTCAGTAACGTGTCAAATATTTTAGGAGGGACGAAAATGGAAAATGTGTTAAGTATTAGGACAAAGGGAGTAACACTTAAAAGAAGAAGCTAAGAGTAATAGTAATAATAACAATCACAAGTGTTCCTAATCAAATGGAACACTTTATGAATTATGAGTTCTAAATTACATGCACATTCCAACAGCATATACACACAAGAATATAATGTTTAGGTTATTTTCGATAAGTGTTTATTCAGGTAAATTAATTAAGCCCTAAATCAGTTAAGTCATTTTGAGTACTAGTTAATTTTGGGTCGGGTTATTTCGGGTATAGTTCAGGTCGCTTCGGGTCCCTTCGAGTCAACCAATTTGGGTCAAGATCGGGTCGAGTCGCTTCGGGTTTCGAGTCACTTCGGGTCGGGTCGCTTCGGGTATCGGGTCAACTTCGGGTTGGGTCAATTCGAGTATCGGGTTAATTCGGGTTGAGTCAATTTGGGCATCGGGACGGGTATGGGTCGGGACGGGTCAGTTTCGTGTTCGAGTCAATTTCGGGTTTACGTTTTTGGGTCAATTTCGGGTCATAGGTCGGGTCGTTCGGGTCGAGTCAAGATTGCCAGGTCTAGTGGAGAGGATAGAAAATAGAAAAAATTGTTAGGAACTACTCGCTTAACGGGTTAATTTGTGAACTACTGCTCGCTAAAAAAGTTTTATAAAAAAAACTACCCCCAAAATTTTAAAAGTTTGGGTAACACTACCCTTTTTCATGTTTCGGCAACTGATTCCGACGAGTGGAGCCCATTTGTTATTTTTCCTCCAAAAAAACATCATCACCCTTGTATATATTAACTAAACCTTCCTCTTCTTTGCAAAAAATCAATCCAAAAAACCAAACCTTTGTGATAATCAAATCGTTTTTCCTTCTTTAATTGGCGATTTTCGCCAAAAATTTGTTGTTTAGATTGAGTTTTAGCAAAGAAGAGGAGGGTTAGTTAATATATACAAGGGTGATGATGGTTTTATAAAGGAAAAATAAAAAATGGGCTCCACTTGCCGGAATTAATTGTTGGAAAATGAAAAAGGGTAGTGCTACCCAAACTTTTTACATTTGGGAGTAGTTTTTTTTAATATAACTTTTTAGCGAGTAATCGTTCACAAATTGATCTGTTAAGCGAGTAGTTCCAGACAATAAATATGATAAATATTAAAATAAGATATAAGGGGACCATTAGTAAGGAGGAAAATAGTAAAATACTATATTTAAACCCGTGCAATGCACGGGTTTTAATCATAGTTAAACTTAACACTTAATATTTAATCAAAATAACAAAATATTAATACACAATATTACTATTCTTTTAATCTTACACAATTAAGGCTCACATAAGTCCAGTTGATCGTGCAGTTGATAAGTTGCATAATTAAACTCGCCCCCTTGATTTCAAAATTAACATCCTTTCAAGAATTTCATGGTATTCAAATTCTAAAATATGCATCTTTGCATGCAGAAGTTTTCTGTTTATTTGTGTAGAACATTAGATGAGTTTACATAGGATTGGAAAAATACTGGATTTAAAGTGGTGATAAAGTTTATTAGATATGATAAATTTTATTAACGTAGAACTTAATCTTTTAGCCGAATAAATGATAAATGATAAACATTTTTTTTTTCTCGAAAAAGAGAAAGATATATTTTTAGTTTCAATGATTTTTCTCTTTTTTTTTTTATTTTTTGTATCTAATCTAAAAGTGATATGTTTATAATTGAACGTGATTTCATATATTTTTTTTATCAGTATTATTTTAAAAAAAATATTTTATTATAATCACTTCTTATATTTTTTTTAATCTAATCCAATTTTTGTTTTAAAAAACGAATTGAACGTGAATTTCATTTTTTAATTTAAATAGTATTTTTGTATATATATATACGAAATAAAATAAATTCTCTTAGATAAAATTTTCAATTTTAAAAGATTATATGTTATTTTTATAATAAATTTAAATCTTTAATTTTAATCCTACGTGGCGCTTTAAAATAATAATCCTACGTGGCATAGTCCTATACGTAACGCTCTAAAAATACTAAACCTACACGGCGCTCTAAATTTTTAAAAAAAATTAAAGTCTTACATGGCTCTCTAAAACTCGGGAAAAAACTCCCCTTTATATATATATTAGATTGTCAAAAGTTTCCAAAAAAGAAAATGGTTATTAATAAATACGACTGCAAAAGGAATGTGGAGCAAGTAATAAATACGAAAGGAATAGTTATTAACGCTAGGGCTGTTCATTGGTCCAAGACCGGACCGGACCGACGACCGAAAAATTGAATTTCAAGAACTGAAGACCGGACTGATTAAGTTTGGACCAAACCCGGTCTGGGCTGAAAAAATCGGTCCAAAACCCAAATCGGACCGGGTTAGATTGATTTTAGAATTTTTATAAAAAAAATTCCTAAATTTTAAATAATCTATGGAAAACTCGAAAAAAAATTAAAAGAAAAGCAATATTTTAACGTCTTTTTTTGTATGTTTAGTACAAAAAAGCTCATACGACTAAAGTTTTTCAAGATTGTTAAGGATAATATTAATCATTATAAAAGGTTTTATGGATAATTTTAAGGAAAAAATCCGTCCGGTCCAAAACCAGTTTGTATAGGGTTTTGGACCGTAAAAATAATTTTCTCGACCCGAAGACCGAACCGATTAATTTGGTCCGGTCCAGTCCTGGGTCGATCCGGACCGGCCGATCCCCGGTCCAGACCAAATTTTGAACACCCCTAATTAACGCAATAAAAGGCATATGGGCAGTCCCTTAACAAATTGAGCATGATATCAAAGACACTCTTCTCTCTTCACCCAGTTTCACAATTGGAGTATGCATCACATCTATCGGGAGGCAAACTGTGTAGCAAATTATTGGATCGATAATGTGGGATACTTAGTTCCTGAAAGTATGAATATTGATGTTTGTGATAAACTGATAACTCTAGTTCATTTTCAATTCTTTCTTCTGATACATTAATAGTACCCCTCGTGAGGAGGACATCCTAATATTTTTATCTTACCTTTAAAAAAAATAAAAAAAACAATCTTCATGTAAGTGTGACTATAGATTAACAAAAAGCATCCCCTTCATCAAATGGGGTCAAAATTTAGTTTTTATTTAGATGAACATGTAGAACACAAGAAAACCATGGCCCGTCCGCCAACAGTTTTCTTTCACCTCCCCTCTCTCTCACCTCACTATCAAGTCCAAAAAAAATCCGATTATTTGTTACATGCCCATAAAATTTGACAATCAGTGTAAATGGATGAGCTGAGTGTAGAACTAATCAGCTACTTGCCCTACCTAAACTGTTGCCCCAGCCTACAGTGATTGACGAACAACTTCTAAGGCCTCCTCTACTGAAGATGTACTTTGCAGCTTGGCTTTGTCAACGAAAGGCTGAGCCTTAGCAACTTTGGGAAGAAGTTGGAATTCCTGAAAATGGTCATAAGATATATGTGATATGTGAAGCTGATAAAAAGATCCTACTGCCAAAAGTATATGTAGCACTACAACAACAATAACAAAGCCTTAGTCCCAAAATGCTTTGGAGTCGACTAGCATGAATCGTCATAAGGAATTGTACGATATAAAGAGAAGGACATAACAAAATCACCAAAAGAGTTTGAAAAAAGGTGAGTAAAGTAAGTAAACGAAAGAGCATTTAAGAAAAATTAAGGGAGTTTTAAAAGAGAACCAAGAATAAAATTCAAGAAAGTTTTAAAAGAGCAAAAGTATATGTTACATTGTTCGTGAAAAATCATGGGTACAATCCAAGTTTTCAATATAAAATTATACTTAAGATTAAGTTAAGATTATGAGCACACTGTAGTTTCAAAGATTAAAGGCATCAATGAACCATATATATGCAATACAATTCTAAGACCTAGTACCTAATAATACAATGTTTTCTTCCAATCAAGAAGAGCGTCATTTTCAATTTCAGAAATAAACTGAAGTAACTTTTCAGCCTTCAAGATTACATGTGAACAACCTATGCCATTCACATAGTAGAAGGATATACCACACATATACGTCAAAAAATACAAAATTTATGAAATGCATCTATGAGGTAACAATGACAGTACCTCAGGACTTCCGCTTTCAACAAGAACTCCTTTCAGTCTCCCTGTTTAGTAGACAAGGGTTGTTAGAAGTGCTCAAGTATTACTGACTGTGACAGTGAAAAAACTAAAAAAAAAACAGCAGTAGGAAGGAAGGTGATGAATAGAGTATACCAGAATCTATCCAGAATGTAGCAATCTTGGGGTCGAAGTTTCCTATCTCAACTGTCTCTCCAACTGTTAAAAAGGTGATCATTATAATAAAAAATAAAAAATAAAAAGTACATGATTATTAAGTCATATTAAAAGTTGTAAATCTGCTGCAGTTAAATGCAGAATACACAATTATTTTAAGCAGCATCATTACCATTGTCTCCAAAAAATTGCCACCATATTTTTCTTTGGCTCCCTTCATACTCAAATACCCTTGAGTAGAAGTAGGGAAGGTAATCATATCTACATTCAAGTAGGAAAATATTATCAAGAAAGAGGACTGATAGCTTGTCAGGAAGCACCACAATAACCAATCTAAAAACAAGATAATTAAAAAATAATAATAATAAATAAATAGTCTGCCTACGTGTGAGTTCGAGCACTCAAAAGTGCACTGACACAATGCAGAGCTGATTTACGGGCATGGTCCACATGTTCAACACGAGCAATACGGTCATACATCTGCCAAATATGTACCCAGCACTTCCTGCGTGAGAAAGCAACCCCTTGGGGAAAAATATGTTTAATAGAGTGAGAATGCTTAACATACTTTCAATGGAAAAGCTGCAACATCTCCAATGGCAAATATTCCAGGAACTCTGGAGCGAAACAGACCATCAACCTGACATCAAGTTCACAATTTAGCATATGTTTTGTATTGCACTCATAATGTATTCATTCTAAAAAGAAACCAGAACTTGACTACATATATGAAGTTCATCTACAGGGAGTGATGCTTTGTTATTAATTTCAGAAGGCTTAGGCCCACAGATCTAGTAATAGAGTGCTTAACAAATGAGATTAATGCAGCGAAACTAGTACATGTGACTACCATGCTTACTGGACGGTCTAACAATGAAATTACGCCAACAATATTGCTACAAAAACCTTGTATCTAGTCAATATAGAATAGAAAGTCCCCTGCATAAACTATGAGCCACATCAAAGTGAGTAACAATTACTGAGTGAACATCATCTTGAAATAGAGGGAGTACTTCGAAGTTCCAAAAGAGAATTAGCAATCACCTGAATACCACCAACAGTCGTATCTAAGCCAACATTTTCAAAAGGACCGACTGCAGGTTTAGCTCCAATACCAATAACTATCTGCACAAGTTGAAATAAATTTAGTCAAGTTCCAATTTGCTCTTTATACAAAAAAACCACCACCAAGACATCAAGTAAACAAATCAGTTTTTTATTAAATATTTTATGACTATAAACAATATGATGCAAAGGGGAGAAATTCAAAGCAAGTATTACAAAATAAAAAAAATAAAAAATTAAGCAAACCCACAGTGTCTGCTTCTAAGGTAGAACCATCTTCAAGTTTGACAGCAGCCACATTTCCATCAGAACCAGCTTCTAGGTTTTTAATCATAGCACCCTATATCATTTATTATCACTGAGTGTTAATACTTTACAATCAATTAAAATTTATTCCAAAGGGGAAAAAAAATCTACCAACGATCTAGTCAAATGACAGAGAAGTTGTTGACAAAGTGACAACCTTTACAAACTTGACCCCGTTTTGCTCATACAACTCTTCGTACTTCCTGGCCAGTGAAGGAGTAAACAGTTTTGACAAAAGACGGTCTTCAGGAAAAATGACCTAATTAATCAAAGCAACCAAGATAAAGAGAAAGATATCAGTGCTAAATCAAAGCACTACAAAGTGAATTACCCACATGTACACATTGGAGAAAGCAATCTTTTGACTGCCGGAAGAAAAATGCAGAAAAACTTGTCAAATCTTAGATGTACCCTATTTCGAGTTCTTTATTCAAAACTGGAAAGCAAATACTGCCAGTTTGCAAAAGAATCCTTGGTATCTCAATTAGTTTACTAGAATATCCAAATGCAGTTGCATAAAGTAACAAATCTTACTTTCTCCTCATTTTTCCTCTTCTACTACAATTTTAATGCATCGATATTTAAACATCCAACTTCAACCAAATGACATATTGTCCATACCGTGGTATCTAGGTTCCAACCCACAGCTGCAGCTGCAACTTCCATGCCAATATAGCCACCGCCCACAACCACCACCTTCTTTGCTTTCTTCTGCATATTGAAAGACACAATCTTTAATCTTCAGGCATAGAAACTTCATGTTTATATACTAGTGGTACGACTAGTACCTCAAACTCATTTCATGATGAAGAAGAAAGCACACATATAGTGACTACAAGCAAATACAAGGTTAGAGTCATGGAAGGGAATGTAAATTTCCATAAATGGAGAGATCAAGAAGTGCCTCAACATAGGTTTAAAAAAAGATGGCACTCCATATTCAGTAATGTATATAGTCATGAACATTCTTTAAATAAAAACCAAAGTTGAAGAGAAGAAATCCCCATATGAAGCAATTATGCAAAATCTCAGAGTTATGATGCGTAAATCTGTAAATCAGATAAACAACTGACTTCTAGAGATCACCCTTGAATCTTGACAACAATTGGCATTGAATCCATAGCTTGATGTTATAAGATGATAAATTCTTCTTCAAGCAGCTCATAAGTTTACATAAGGGCACTATGATCAACAATAAAATTAAGCTCAGAAAGGATGTTGAACTACCAATGATTCTATAAGGGAGTTAGCATCTGCCACGTCCCGAATATAGTGCACACCGGGTAAGTTTCCTCCAATTTTCTCTGGAAACCTGAAACAAAAGGTATGAAAATGGGTCTCTCAGATTTTGCAACATTCTTGAAATAGCAGGATGATCCCTTTAAAAAAAAGGCATTATCAGATTAGAAACTAAAGTATAAAATAATAAGAGATAACAAAGGAGAAGAGATCACAAAAATTATGATAGAGTAATTCTTTCAGCATTCAAAATATAGAAATCCAAAAATAAATGTTATGTTAATGGATTTTTAGACACAAGATATTCTACTTCTAGTGCTCCATAGTCCACATCATATCATATATATTGCTACTAACAAATTCAGAGTATCGGAAGACATTACTTAATACTTAACAAGTTATCATAGCCTCAATAACATGACATGCAGATTTAAGCATGGCCTAGATTCATGTATCATCATGGATTGATATGCTCATAAGCTCTTAAGTCTTAACTACAAGGCTTGCAACAAATCAGACTGAACCAAAGGTTTAACTCACTAGCAGGAACCAAACATGCAAATTTTTCCCCAAAATCAGTCTTTAAAGTCCATGCAAGAAAACTATATGCATCAGCTAGATATCATGTTACAAGCTTTGTTGAAGAAAGATATCTTTCGTATAAACCACTAGTATTTCATTAAAGAGTGCATTTTTCACTTTAAGAGAAAATGAGAGCAAGTCACGTAAAGAAACAGATGACAATACCTTGTAGCTGTGCAACCAGTAGCAATTATAAGTGACCCATACTTCAGTGATTTGCCTGACTGGGTTTGTAGAGTGTGCTTATCAATATCGACACCTGTCACAGCATCCTCGTAAATCATCTGTGGAGAAACAAAATATACCACACAGATGTCACAACCCCCTAGGCATTAAAGCCAAAAATGAGAAATAAAAACAGGTAAATTTCAAGGACAAAAGTTGAAATTCATTACTTGTTAGTCATGTACAAAGCTTTTTTGACTAGCCAAAAATAACAAAACTAGAAAGATCAAGAGAACAGCCAGTATTACTGAACACCAAAGAAAATTATTAAGCATACCTCAATCCCCTTCTCCTGGTACCATTCTGGAGTCTGCCTTTCACCACCAGATCCAACGCAAGTATGGAAACCCTTCAAAGTCAATTTGAAGTCAGAGTCGTAGATACACTAAGTTTCAGAAAATCCGACACTCCACCCTTAAGTAATCATAACAAATCAAAATGGTTTTAACTTTACTTCACCAAGTCTGAAATTATTTAAGTTACAATTGCAACCTAAAAATTGGCAAATGTTTTCCAACTTAAAAGATGAAACTGGTGTCTTACTGGTAATCGTGCAGGCTTTTTATCCAATGGAAACAAGTAGCCCTTCGTCAATGCCGGACGCTCATATGGTGCGTAAGCCTTGCATCAAAAAGATATGTCAAACAGAAACAATCAACAAATGTAGCAGTGTGTAGTTTAATAAGTGAAATTCAATTCACATTTTTTTAATTTTCCTTGTTTGGGATTGGGTGGGAGGAATTCTGATTTCAGTACTTGACCAAATACATCCATAGACAGTGTTTAAGATAATAGATACAAGTCTAAAAAAACATAGGCTCTCCTGCAAATTAACATCAGTGGCACAGTACCCACACAAATAATAAAAACTAGTAGAGACAAGTAAAGTGATATCATTTAACTGATGTACGGCATGTACCCAGAGTATGCTCTTATTTTTCATTCAAACTATCCAATGGGAATTTGGACAATCTATTCAAAGGTAAAGTTCTAAGAAAATGACTTACAGATTACAACCTTACTCACTTTTCAAGAATGTCTTTCCAACAACTTCAAACCTCAAAAGTTTCATGCCACTAATATGGCTATGTGTCATCTCCTAACACTTCGTATCCCTACAAAACTAATACCGCAGCCAATGAGCCTGGTGGAGACCTCTACCTGCTCACAAAGTGCAAAATGCTGTAGGATAACAGCATTTCCAATCTTTCCACAAAACAGATTAGCTTGAACACTAAAGCTCAGGGATTTCCCTTTTTTCCTCCTTTCTCTTGAACTTTTCTACTAGCAATGCACTAAAATTTGGCTCATGAGATGATGGTTAAGATCACTACTTCAACAAATAATAGCAATTACAGAAGAAGTCTGACACATAGCTGCTTTAAAATCCTTGAACCTCATTTTGCATTCTGAATCTCCCATGACATGAACCACATAACAAGGTACTTAAGTCAAAAATTAGTTATCTAACAGTTAAGTGACAGAACAGCTTCTTAGAACACAACCCGTGTGTCAAATGCACCACAGACCTGGTGATAATTATCTTCATCTATAATAATCACAGCAAAATCAACTACATTGACACAACTTCTCTTCCCAATTCACCTCCATTACATCTTTTCCCCATTTGCCTCAGCAAAATTTGAGGCACGAACAACACAACAAGTGACAAAACAGTAATTTCAGGATCCCTCCCCCCCCCCCCTCTTTCTTAACAAGCTAACAATTTGCGGCAATTTAAGCCATCCGGTCTTTCAGATAGAAATGGCAATTTGTTTTCCTAATCTAAGACACGAAAGTCTAGACATGCTTCAATCGCTAACTCAACCTCAGAATTAAACTGTCTACCATATAGCTAGAATTGCCTACAACACACACCTGATCAAAGTACCTTTGTTCCATATCAGACTTCAATTCCCAATTCATACTTCGTTAATCCCTTTCTAAAATTCACTACAAGAATGTAACTTCAAGTCTACAATGAACATTAGGCAAAATGTACCCGTAATATATACTTCAATCTCAAATTAAGCACAACTATACTCTGCGCCAATGTGACTACGTACTTGTTTGGTTGAACATAGGAAGTTATACTCCCAACAAAATCATTGCTCCCATAAAATTGTACTTTGTAATTTTTAAGAACCAAACAAACACTATATCTACATTATCTAGTAATACAAAGTACTATAAATTAAGATAATATGTAATGATCTCCGTTTAAGTATGGTAAACTACTACATTACTAACGCGCAGGGATTATTAGTTATGTTGATGTCGTAATTTGAACTAGTAACGCGACAAAAAAATCCAAACCGAGTTATAATAATAAGTTAATAACTAGTGTGAGCGGTGAAGCCAAAAATATCTAGAAGCTCAATCAATCAAAAATTTGAAATCAAGAAGAAACCTCTTTAGTGACAATGCAGAGCTTGCCATCAGCCAATCCATGTTCGACAAATGTCCGAGCAGCATACCCCGCCGCATTTCCACCTCCAACAATCACATACCTAAATTTCATTTTCATCAACCAACAATTAATCCAAATAAAAATTCAATCCAAAAAATTGATCGTAACTTCAAAAATTCAAAAATAAAATTGATAAGATAAACCGACATACTCTCGATTATCGTTGGAGAAGCTGGAAGAAGCAGCGATGGAGAAACTTCGATTACCATTGAAGGTTCTAGAAGCGACGAACGAAGGTTTAGAGTGGAATTTAGAGAGAGAAAATGAAGAAGAAGATGAGTATAGAGAGTAGCCATGTTTGAGTGAGAGTGAGTTTGACATGGTCGCCATTAATCTACAAACTGAAGAACAACAATTAAAATTAAATTAGGAAAATGATTGATTAAAATCTGGAAAAATTGAAGGAGAGAGAAAAAGGGAAAGATTTAGGGATTGATTGAACCTGTTGACATCGAAAGTGAAGTTTGATGATTAAAATAAATAGTGGTGTTTGTTGAATAAATTAATGTAAATTTAGTGTATAATTATTGAAGACGGCTTTAACTGAGACTCAAAGGTCGTGTCGTTGATGAGAGAGATGAAAATGGAGAATTGGACAAAATGAAGATATTAAGTTGTGTTTTTGTTTCTAATAATAGTAGCTACTGTAGTTGAAGTTTTTTTTTGGGTACCAATGTCCTGCAACTGTTTTCGGATAGATAAAACAGTGCGGAATGAAATTGCCTTGGGTGCAGAGGTTTTGGATTTACTTCTTCTCCGCAATTGTCACCAGTGGATTGTACATGAAAATTGGTTTTGGCACACCTCTTTATAAAGTCACAACGTATCATAGGTGTGTCAAAATCATCTTCCCTCGTGAGTCTATGGACATAAGGGCATTGCAATATGGGTAAGAAACTAGGCTTTTAACCGCGCTAAATTAGGTATGGAGATAGTATTTGTGGATTGTAGACAAAGAGGGACATATATCCGTCATAGACTCATAGGTGGTGGGATTTATAATCATATTCGTTCCGTTTTGCATCTATACGAAGCCCGATCACTCATTGCCCGCTCCATACCTCCATGCTCACTTGATTTCTACTTCATCCGTTCTTTTTTACTTGACCCGCTTTGACTTTTACACTATTCATCACTCTACCTTTGACCATCTTTAGTGAATTACATGCAAGGAAAAACATGTTTGTGTGAGATCTTGTTAGAATCATCTAAATAAGTACTATCACGATATACAACTTTTATAATTTTTACTTATAGAGAATTTAAGTTATTGATGATTTAAGTTATGCATCGACAAGCGTGATAAAAGAAACAGGCCAAATAAAAAAGAACACAGGAAGTTTCTTATAATCATAATTATTTTATAATTTTAATTAAAATAAAAATACACCAAAGTGGTTATAGCCGTATAGGTGAGTTAGTGGAAATCACGTTGTGTAATACTCCATATTTTTATAATATTTTATATACTCCCTCCGTGTTTTAATAAGTGTTACAATTTGACCAAACACGCATGCCGAGATACGACTTTGACCGTTAATATATCTATTTATATGTTAGTAAAATTATTAAAAAAAAATTGATATTATGAAAGTATACATTATAACAAATCCAACAATGTATTATACAATAACATTTATTTTTGATGTATTAGTAATTAATCAAGTCAAAGTCATTATGTGAATAGCGAAAAAAGTCAAACTTTAACACTTATTAAAACACGAAGGGAATATATAAATTATTTATTTTATCTATAAATTAAAATGATTCATTTTATTTTAAATGAATTAATTATTTAAATATAAAATAACTGTATATAAAATAATATGAGCTAATACTTGGGGCAATAAAGTGTTTTAAATTGGGTCAACATCAATAAAAGTGTTGGAATAACTTGATGGGAGTAAAGGGGTTTTTATGGGCCCAACAAGTTAGCCCCAAAAAAGAATTCTGGTAGGAACGGAATTAGTAATGGCAGTTTTGTAAATACGTATTTTGTTTTAAAAGGGATATAAATACCCCAAAAATTCAAGAATTTCACACTTAATAATCATATTGTTAAATTTTACAAAACCCCAAACTTTTTCTCTTAATTTTCTCTCTCCTTTTTCCTCTTTTTTTCTCCTCTCTTTCCCATGCCCCTCTCTCTCCCTCTCAACGCACCATCGGCGCCACCACCGACCACCACCGACCACCGACAGCCAGCAGCAGCACCGGTGTACCTCCGGCAGCCAGCCACCCTCTTCTTCTCTCTCCTCTTTTTGGTTTGGTACAAAAGAGAAAAAAAAAAAAAACTCTTTCTTCTCCTAATTTAATTTCCAAGTTGTTTTAATTAATTCAAGGCATGATTTTAATTATATTTTGATGTTGTTTTTGGGTGGTTGATGTTGTTAATTTTTTCTTATAATTTTCAGATTTTAATTAATTTGATTAAAAACCCCAATTTACAAACCCTAGAATTTGGGAATTTAATGTTTATGATTAGGGTTTGATTCTAAGTTGTTGTGATTGTTAAATTAATAATTAGAATATGTTTTTAATGAGTTTTAAGCCTTCAATTAATGTTGTAATTTAATTATACACACTACTTTTTAATTATTATGCTAGGGGTTTGATTACCCATAAAAGGAAAAAGGTTTTTGATGATTTAAATATGATTTTCTAGTTGATTAGTGATGTTTATTTTATACTAATAAGTATGCTGCAATTTTATTTAAGCCATGAAAACTAAGTCTTTTTGAATGGATTTTATATACCCACTTAAAGAAAATGTTTTAAGGCTTTTAAACCATTAAATTAGGTTACTTAGTGAGGTTTAAAGTATGTTATAGTTGTTGGAAATTTGTGAGAATAGTGGATTAATTATGGTTATGTATTTTTATTTGTAGGAAGCTTTGAGCTAGATGATTTCTAGCGAGTGTGTCCGAGTTTAGGCATTATTCAAGGTACGTATGCGCATTGAAATATTTATGTATGCGTAGTATCATGCTAAGAATGTAAAGTATGTTTCAAGTGATGATTTAGTAGCATGTTTGATTGTTTATATGCTTGGATTTGATTTTGGTTGATCATAAATTATTATGCAAGCATGTGAACATGTTATTTGAGGCACGATACAAGTTGAATATTTATGAATCATGGAAGTATGTTTTATTTACAAGTATCAAGGAAACATGAATTAGATAACACTACTAGAAATAGGCCGTTTTCCGAGAAAATCGTTCCGACGGACCCATATTCCGTCGGAAAATCCGAACTTTCCGACGGAAATAGGGTCTGTCGGAACATTCCGTTGGAAAATGTTCATTCCGTTGGAAAAGCCTTCCGACGGAATATTCCGTCAGAAAGTTAGTTTTCCTACGGAATTTAAATCCGTCGGAATTTTCCAACAGAATATTCCCTCGGAAAACCCTAATATTCCGACGGAAAAATCCGTCGAAACTTTATAATATATAAAAAAAAAAAAAAAAAAAAAAAAACCCGGAATTTTTCTATCTCCTCTCCTCTCCTCTTTCTCTCTCTTCTCCTTCTCTGATTTCCTCCTCTCTTCCCCTTCGTTTCTTTCTCCTCCTTCCCCTTCTCTGCTTTTCCTCTCCTCCCTTCCCCTTCGTTTCTCTCTCCTCCTTTCCCTTCGTTCCTCTTTCCTCATTCCCCTTCGTTTCTCTCTCCTCCTTCGCCATAACCACCAACATCATCAATTAAACCACCACTGCAAAAACCACCGACAAAACCAAGGCCGCGCAAGAACAACATCAACAACACCGTACAACTGTCGCATCACCTCCAGCGCCGCCGCGTCGCATTCGACCGCATCGTCAACATATTATTCTAGATCTACATTTAATTTTGGTTAGAATTAGATCTAGTTTTATTTTGTTCAAATTTTCAATGTATAAATTTTTTTTAATTGAAATAATTGTATATTTAAGTTAAAATATTTGAGATAATTGTATGATATAATTTGTTTTTGTTAAATTTCGAATTTTGTGTTGATTTTGAATAATTGCTTCTGTTTTTTAATTTTTTTTTTGTGCTGGTCACGGGTTATTTCCGGTTTGGTTTGGTGGGGTGGGCTATTGTGGTGGTGTCGGTGGTTATGGGGTGGGCTATTGTGGTGGTGTCGGTGGTTATGGGGTAGGGTTGTGGTGGTGGGCTGTTGTTGTGGTGTGGGTGGGCTGTTGTGTGTTGGTGTCGGTGGCTGTTGGGATGGGGTTTGGTTTGGTATTGGGGTGGGAATGTGGTGGGCTGTTGTTGTGGTTTAAGGGTGGTAGGTTGTTGTTGTGGTGTGGGTGGGCTGTTGTGGTGGGGTGGTGTCGGTGGGCTGTTGTGGTGGTGTTTGGTTTCGTATTGGGGTGGGAATGTGGTGGGTTTGGGTAGGTAGGGGGATAGGGGGTGGGCTGGTGGGTAGGGGGGCAGGGGATGGGCTGGTGGTGTCGGTTTAAGGGTGGTGGCAGGGGGTGGGCTGGTGGGTAGGGGGGAAGGGGGGCAGGGGGGTGGGGGTGGCCTGTTTTTTTTTTTTGTTTTTTTTATTGACTTTCCGACGGAATTTTCCGTCGGAATGTACCTCTTCCGACGGAATTTTCCGTCGGAATGTACCTCTTCCGACGGAATTTTCCGTCGGAATGTACCTCTTCCGACGGAATTTTCCGTCGGAAACCTCTCCAACTCCGACGGAATTTTCCGTTGAAAGCTTGCAACGGACTACCCATTCAAGTCAAACATTGGCTCCGACAATTTAAAATCCGTCGGAAATTCCGTCGGTAGGGCCTTTTCCAACGGAAAATCCCTCGGTATAAGCCAAATTTCCTACAAAGGGGTTTCCGACAACGTGTTCCGACGAAAATCCGTCGGAAACAACCCTTTCCGACGGATTTGAAAGGTGTACCGACGGATATTTTCCGTCGTAAATAAGGTGTTTTCTAGTAGTGTAAGCCTTGCTTCTATATGTTTAGAGGAGTTAAAGTTAGAATTATTGAGCATGATTCATGATTTTATTTCTCACTCATTTATTATTGGAGTTTAGTCAAGAAAGTTAGTTTATTTATTTACTCACTCATATAAGTTGAGTTTGAGTCAAGAAAGTTTATTAGTGCATCTTATGCACCAAGGTAGTAATAGTGCAATTTTGTGCACAAAACTAGGCAAGGAATCGTAATTAAAATAAATTGTATATGCTCACTAATTAATTCAAGAATGAAATGGAAATATGTGTTGATTATTGTTATGTTTATTCTTGATTGATTGGTTGAAGTCATCACAAATTAAATTGGTAAATCACGTAAAGTATAAGAGGATACGCACCAAAACTCTTAAAACGTATACACCTAGAGTATAAACATATGGGGGAGTTATGGGGTTTTATATTTAACCATAGCTTCAACAAGGGTACAAGATGTTGTACTTTCTTTTATTATTATTATTATGCGCTGAAATTCCGTCACAAGGTGACATTAGTTGGTACTCACTTGGTTAGCTCCCAAGTGAGAGGTCCCTTATTATTAAGGGATAGATAAGGAAGGAAACTCGTTCGATGTGAAATCCTAAGCTATTTATTAATAATTAATATGTTATTTATGAGTCAAAGGTAAGTTGACTTGTGAATTGTATAGCGAGCATGTTTTATTTATTATTGCTAAGATATTCATGTTAGTGTGGTGCATATGTACTCAACTTTTGCTGATTCGTACTTTTGTGTTTTTATTT